ACTTCGCAAGAATCGCAATACCGCATGACATCGAAAATGAGGTCGGGCCATCGGAATCGTTGTCGAAGCCGTGCAATCGTGCGATTGACTCCGAAGTGGCCGGCGAGTCGCGAATCATGATACTCGCCGAGAAGGCGAGTCCGAAGACGGYGGTCGCGTGGGACACACAGTAAATCCTTGCCTCTCGAGTGGAGGAGCAAGTACCCGTCGGCAATGCGATAGTGGCTGGCCGGCGGGTGATCCGAAGATAGCTGCGCATACAACGTAGCAAACTCAAGGTCAGACTGATAGCCCCTGATGAAGTGTCGCTGGAGGTCCTCGTCGAACGTGAAGGCGTGATGCGTCATAACGCAAAGATCAGGTCGTCGCGAAAGTGCATCTGCTGCGCGATTGGAGAGGCCGTCAACCTGTTTCGGTGTGAAGTCAAACTGGTCGCTGAAGTACATCCACCGTCCAATCGTGCTGCTCACCGTGTCCTGCGTCTTGTAGTAGGTCAATGGGTTATTGTCCGTGACCCATGTGAACCTACGACGCCCAAGAAGGAAGTGCCTCCATCGCTTGAGAGCCATGACGAACGCAAGCAGTTACTTCTTCCTTGCATCATCCAGAGAATTGATGGGAGGCACTTTGTGGCTGAAATACTCCACAGGGTGCCAATCCTCGCCGTCGTGCTGCTCCAAGACTGCCCCAATGCCGTAACCAGAAGCGTCAGTCGTCACTCTCGTAGGCAGTGGGGTCGTAGATGCTAAGGACGGGTGCCATGAGCATGGCCGTCTTGAGTGCTTGGAAAGCCTGGCGCGCATCGTCATTGAATACGAATGGCACCTTTGGCGATTGTAGTCTCGTCAGAGGTGCGACAATCCTTGAGTATCCGGTGATGAAACGCTGATAATAGCCTGCCAACCCCATGAATGAACTAACGTCCGTGGTGTTGGTGGGCTCGGGCCATACGCGGATGGCCTCGATCTTGTCCGCAAGCGGACGGATGCCTTGCGGCGTCACATAGTGTCCCAAGTACTCCAGCTCCTGCTGTGCGAACTCGCACTTGTCGCGGTTTGCTTTGTACTTGGCCTGTCGTAGCCGCTCCAAAACGGTGCGCAGGTGTTCCACATGCTCGTCCAGACTCCGACTGTAAACCAGAATGTCGTCGAGGTATATAAGTACGAAACGATCCAGCATGTGGCGGAACTCCGACGTCATAGCCGCTTGGAAAGTGGTTGGGGCATTCGTAAGGCCAAATGGCATGACCAGCCATTCGAAATGCCCATACCGAGTCTTGAACGCGGTCTTGTAGCGATCCTCCTTGCGAATCTCGAGTTGGTGGTACCCTGACTTGAGATCCAACTTAGAGAAGAACTGGGCGCCGCCCAATCGCTCGAGAAGGTCATCGATGCGTGGGAGAGGGCCGGTGTTCCTGATCGTCTGCGCGCTGAGCTTGCGATAATCGATGCACAACCGCAGGTCCTTGTTCTTCTTCCGGACGAAGAGAACAGGAGCACCGTATG